AAATATACGGTATTGTAATGCATGTAGGGCCTATACAGTAATGTATTTTTACCGGCGCCAACATTTATTACTAAAATCTGACAAGAATGTCAGTTCATCAGAACTTCACATCCTTCATAAAATTTGTTTATTGTTATTACATTGATATTATTTGTTTTTTTGCGAGTTACTTCTTGGTTGTATAGACCGCGTAAAGATACCCTATATATATCTATACGTGATATATATATATATCAGGAGTAAATAATAATCACAAACATTTATGCACATATTTACTCGAGATATATATATCTGAAGATTGCATTACATCAGGAGTTAATGAGACAAATTGTCTCATTAACTCCTGGGTTTGTCTCATTAACTCCGCGATGTACATTACGGATTACATGTACATGCGCGTACGTCACGATCGACCCCTGGTAGAGACGGAATGACGTCATCATCTCTGCTGTAGATCGACAGTACCCGCTGCACTGCCCTCAGTGACTCAGCGTTGCACATAAACAGGGATTTGGTGGCCATGGACTACGAACTACTAATAGTAATGGGTAGGTAGGGACGAGATGATAAGTGGTAAGATGGTTGGGTGTGAGGTTTATGCTTAGCTTTGTCTATGTGCCCTTTCAGTAATATATCTGCCTAATATCGTAAATGTAGAAGCAAATATTGCTCTGGCCCGGCAAAATCCTATTTGACACACCCAGTACTATAGTAGTAAATATCCTATCCACCACTACTACTACTAGTACTACGTACTCATTCAGACTCAATGTTATAATGTAGTATACACGTTCATGATTACAATACTGTAATTTATATAGCAACAACTATATGTAATGTTCCATTACTTACCTTTCCGTTAGGAACTAGGCCCTATGTCGATGCACTATTAGTATCACGACTATGCACACGACACGGTTATCTGTCCATGATGTGTAGGGCCTACAGCTATGCAGATTATCATATCAAATAAAAAAATCAACAACCGTAAAGGTCAAAGGCTAATCCACAACTTGGGAGATGTACGTACTAGTGATACACGATATGTAGATGATACATGTACATATTAATTATTATGAATAATCAATGTATCACCATAGATATTAGTCCGAGATTCCTCTGACCAATGCCCACACCGACGATTTTGGTGGTTTTGGTGTGGGTTAGCCCACCAAAACCCACACCAAAACCACCAAAATCGTCGGTGTGGGCATTGGTCAGAGGAATCTCGGACTACATAGATATATACAACACATCATGTATCACTGGCAAAAAGCCGAAACATACCATAAATCCCCATAAATCCAAGTAATAAAAAACGGCTCACAGTGTGTATAAGGATTTACTAGTAAATTAAATAGGTGCAAGTTTAGCCGTGTTAATAAATGATAGATATATCAAAGAATTAACCATCTAAAGACAATATTAATCTGCTTTCTGACCTACACAAGGACTCTATCAATGTGAAAAAAATATTGTTGAATTTTGCTGGTGAAAAAAGTTCTATTGATATCAAGTCAGCTTTGAATCTTATTATGTGCAGCACAGTCACATATATATTTTATCTAATCTATATTGCAACAAGACATATATCTAAAAATTTATCTCAATCTAGCTCTGTGAAAAGCCTACCTTTTACTGAGCACCACAGCCTCTCTGTTGACCCATCGCAGAACCTGTATCGTTGGTCGTAGAAGCATCGCCCGTGTGATTGTACTGACCAGTTTCTGGCACACCTACGAGTCGCCTGTCTTCCACTTGCTAAATGAGTTGGCCATCTAACGAGGTTTGCCGTATGTGGCTTTTGTGCTTAGGTGACTATTACGTAACGGCGGCTTGGCTCCTGCGGTGAGTCTTTTGTGCGGGGAGAGGGTCTGTAAGCTTAGAGCGTTGGTCGGGGTCAGTTAGGTGGTTATGCACGTGTAAGATTGTGTCTTTACTGTATTTGCGTGTGCAAAGGAAAGTCTTCACTTTTACTAATGCCAAAATGGAATGCAGATTGCAGTGCAAGTCTGACTGGAGCACATCCGGTAAATCGCACGCCGCGACGAATTCGTTCACATGTGAAATGCCTCAAAATGTTGGATAGTGCAGCAGACGAAAGAGGCAGTAGACATTTCTGTGAATGATACATTATCCTTGAGGGAGAATACAATAGTGATGAGACAGGAAAGAAAATCGAATTGATTTCCATTCGAAATAGTCTCGTAAGGCTACTTGACAAAATGCTCAGCTCTCATCTCCATTTGCAGGGATGTTATCCTTGGTATCTAATATTATTAACATATATATACGTCATCGTGGACAGTTGTGTAGATAAAGACATACTATTATTTATAGTTTGTATGTGCTTGGTTTCAGAACTGATGTGAGCTATGCCTGCCGGGACTGCTGTTAACACTGTGGTTAGGTCTCCAGTTAGTCTGTACAGACACCTTCTACGTCAGCTTAGGCAATTACCAGATCACGCGGGCGCACACTACAGGCACCAGCTACGACAGGTGCGTAACAGCAGCGAAACCACGTGTAAACACATCCATCCATGTCCTGCTTCTATACCGCAGACTTTTGCGGTTCAGTTCTTAACTTAATGCCATTTGTATTAGATATGTGGCTTCAGGAGCACGTTAAAGTACATCGATAGTTTGATGTGATACCGATAGTATTGTACAGCTGTATGTAAGAAGGTAATGTGCTCAGCGTTCAGGTCCGTGGTTAAAGTTGGCTGCGAGCTGAGACCCTGCTCATCTCATATCAGTGAAACATAGAGAAGCTGCCAAGTGTAGCTATATGAAATAGATAGGTGGCGCCTACGACCAATGGATTTTCTTAATAATGTTGCTTCTGTAAGAAATACTTTTAGAGGATCTCTGATTACTGTTACTAATAGGAGTAAGAGGAAGCATGGGAATGTAAAATCCAACTGCCTCTGTGTTTCTGCCATTAATCGAATAATAGGATGAGCTTTTATTGCATAAGATGCTTCTATTTTTACTGCTACTACTACTGAATAACTTCTCAGTGATGTCGTTCTCTACCTGCAGCAGTTCAACAGCCACAAATATGAGATAGACAAGGACAGGATATTGCAGATCTCACGCCGTGCGCTGGAGGATGTGCAGTGGATTACAAACAAGGTATAAATCTGCGGGTTTGTAGTGATTAACAGCTCAGAACCTCAGGGGTAATGTAGCGTTCGCACAACCTTGAGATTGTGCATGTGTAATCACAGTACAATTATGTATGCATTGGCCAAAAAATTCTGTTTACAGGTAAAGCAGAAAAAAGTTAAAGAAAACCACACACTATAAATTTTTGCAAGCCTGACATGATTGCGATATGAATAATAGATGTTGTTTTGTGTACGTGTGCTTTCGTCGCCGATTATTTTTCTTTCCTCTGCAGTACGGCAAGAAATCTGAATAATCCCCCAACTTGCTGCATTCCTGACAGACGAGCAACTAGTGTGCACACACCACGAGTGATTAAGAAGCAGATTCATGTGATCTGCGGCATGTACATTTAATGAAAAGCTCAAACAGGGAAGCAACAAAACTGTGAAAAAAACTCAGTGTTGGTGGGTCATGTCCAGACCATCAACGGACCCATGTAAGAAGTACGCATGTGCCATACAGCGCTGTTTGGACTCCAAGGGCTTTCAGGAGCCTGACTGCACCAGTGCGATCGAGGCAATGATAAAGTGCTGTGAGAGGAACGCGGAAAAGGTATCCGACTGCTGCTCTGGTTTCAGGCGTCCCACCGACCCGACCGTAGTGATACCGAAAAAGAATTACTACTCGGACAAGCTATAGAGATACCCTGCGTATGCAGCGCCATCTCTAGTCGTCTGCTGAAAATTAGTGTTTTTTTATAATTCCATTATGAACTATAATTCCTTCCTGAAAACTATTGTTAGTGTTGAGGAGGGTGAGAGGGAATGCAGGTAAAGCCTACCTCATTCAGTAACTTGTCGGTTGTGTGTTTCCGAATAGGTGGTCAGAGCTTCGTAAAATAAAATTTATGCTGTTTGTTTGTAGATGACCACTCAGTGACCAACCGACGTGTTAAGGTTAGTGTGCTCGCTGTATTGCTTAAAAACCCTGCCGTAGTTAGCGTTCGTCTGTGCGATTATTGTTGTGCGGTGGTTTTTATATCGAGTGTTAAAATACCATTTAGAAGTGTCAAAAATGCCTCTAGTTAGAAGAGGTGCGCGATGTAACATCTATGTCTTGTGGAACATCTTGTTCCTGGTATTTCTCACTGCTCTGGTCTACTGGCTGTTCTTTGCGTGGTGAACTGGGACTGAGGTTGGCTGTATTGTGACTGACGTCGTGAGTTTTACATGCATTGTAGTATGTAGCAGGTCTGTAGCAGAGCTTTAGATACGTCTTGCGAAATACTCTCCACGTCATGAGGGCCCGCATTTGTATAGACTTTTGTAGCCCTATGATTTGTACTAGGAAAAGATTGAAACCCCAACAAATTAAATAGAAGTTTTTCAAATACTACTTTTTTGTATTTATGAGTATTTCAAAATGATAAGTACATGCAGTGTCGTTGGCATAATTTGCTATATAGTATAAAACATCAATATTTAGAGAGTAAACAATTTTACAACCCTTTCAGGCATAGTTCGGTGGCATATGAATACACTATGCAGCAGTATACATTTCTACACTATAAATGCATTGCAGATTTCATACTATCTGCTAAATGGAACAACAAAGAATGCTACCTAATGTTATATATTGTTATATGATGTTATCTTGTTATAACCATAATCAGGTTATGGTTAAAAACGATCAGTTATTTATTCATAGTTAAAGACTAACATAAAACAATACTATAGCTGGCTGCTTATTTTGAATATTTGTAAACATGGCATCCATTAGAAATTTTTACAACAGCTATAAAGTGGTGGGTCTGTGAATCTGCAATATTACAGTACTTCCAAACCCTTTTCCTTGTTTGTCCGTAGTCCATGCTAGTTTACACACGTGACGTACAACGTTTCCACACACCTCGCCACGATTAGACTCGGTATGCCTCGCACCTAGACTGCGGATGTGATTTTAGCGGAATATAATGCAGAGCACCAGCGTGGTGGTGAGCAGGAAGCCCGCATTGACGGCCAGGATGACTCTGTTACGCGTCGTTTCTTGTATGGATTTCAGACAGGTGGCGCCATCGTCGCCGCCCTCGGCTGTCGTCACTCCGCACAGCACGTTGAAGAGCCGTGAGTGGCTGGAACTCTCGGCTGCAACACCGGCCATGTTTGTTATTAATGCCCACACCTCTTTCTGCTGATACTATGCGCTCTGCATAATGCTACACTCAACATAACTAGATTTGAGTCGGTACAAGACGAATGTTCTTCGACTTGAAGCACAGAAAATCGGCATCATCATAACAAACACATCTTGTAAATTCATCAAGCAGACAGAAAGCTATGAGGGAAAATTCATAGGACGTGGGAAAGCAACAAGGATGCCCGCGGGATATTAAATGAGAGATACGTACACTGCTCTTCCTGCACATCCATCTTCTGCACCTTCTCAGTGGCGGCCTCTAGTGGCTGCTCCTCGCCACATTCAAACCTCGTCCACCATGTGACAGACTTCAACTGCAAGATACATAACACGTTGTGGCTCTTAAAGCCATGTGGCTCTCAAAGTCTCCTGCTGACCTTGCTATGATCGTACGGGCATGATCGCATAGCTTCTTAATTGTACATTTACCTCGTTACGATACTTTATCAGGGTTGTAAGCTAATTAACCCATTTTGCCTGGAAGTGGGTGGGGGGGGGACCCACATGCGGGTTGTGTCTTCATCAAAGTTTAACGGAATGCTAACACTTGTCTGTAAATACATAAATGTTTCACTTTCACACTTAGCAGCTTTAGCATTGCCTTCCAACTAGAATCGCAAAGTGTTGCTCTATAAAGTGCATTTTCTAGTGTATAAGCTCACTCTGGCTCTTACCTCGCTGTCTGGCTGACACTTGGTCATCAGGCTGACCGCCGTTGCCACGGCGAACACTATCAACATCTCGATGGAGCCAAAGTAGAGGAAGTGCACCTTGCTGACCAGCAGAGGGCGCTCATCTGGTTCCCCACAAGGGGGCTCTGGGTAGCTGAAATCGAGGGCGATCTTCCCAATGCCGATGACGTGCGCTGCGAGCAGAGCCCAGAAAGCTCCCTGAAAACAAAACGTTTGTTAGACATCACAGCAAGCATATTCACATGGCAAGAAATCACGCAAAATGAGATATACCCTCCTTTGCCAAACTTTTGAAATTAGAACGCTCCAACATCAACATTACCTTTTCGTTGATTCGTTTCCACAGTATCGCGATTAGGAACAGCGCGCCTATGGGAGTGCCGAGGTAGCCTTGCATGGCCTGTATGTAGAGGAACAGCTGCCCACCCTGTGACGACTGTATCATGGGTAACCAGGCTACGCTCACTGCACACATGAGCAGGACAAACACCCTGCAAGTGAAAACAGTGCAGAACAATGCCGCACAACAACAGGTGTGACATATCCTACTTTGGGACCCTTGTTTTAAATGATAGGCTTAAGATTATGGTAGGATTCAAGGTGATTAGGTTAGGTGAAAATTAGAGCTAGGGTTAGGTTATGGTTAAAGATTAGAATTAAGGGTTATTAGGGTTAGGGTCAAGGAATAGTGTGATGATGATGATGATGATAATTAGGATGAGGATGATGATAACGATGATGATGATTTGGATGACGATAGTGATTTACGTACCAATATCTTAATGTAGGATTCATTCGGCAACAACTAAATACACAATGTTCCAACACAGATGTATACAGCCAGATATACTAATCCAGTGATATTCTGTTTCTAGCACTGCTCATAATCTGCATCACATTAAAATGGCATGTTATATTCAGTTACATGTTTATATTTCAGTTCTCTTACTTGCCAACTAGAAGTAGTTCAGTTTCAGCCGCTAGGGGGCGGCACCTGCGGTACAGGTCCAATGTAAAGATGGCGCTAGCGCTGTTGAATATTGATGTGAGGGAGCTCATGAGCGCAGACAGCATGACAGCCATCATCAGCCCTCGTAAACCTGCGAGCGAAATCATAATGCCATTCATATGTGATTCTCCTGTCCTCTCTCTCTCTTTACGTCTCTCTCTCTCTCTCTCTCTCTCTCTCTCTCTCTCTCTCTCTCTCTCTCTCTCTCTCTCTCTCCTCTCTCTCTTTCTCACTGTCTCTCATTCTATCTCTCTCTTTCTCATTCTCACTCTCTTTCCCAGTCTTCCCCCTCATCTTCCTTCTCTTCCTTCTTCGCCCCTCTCTCACCTATAGGCATAATGCTGAGGACGAGCTTAGGGTAGGCGATGTTGCTACAGCTTGCTGGGTTCCCACACGCCTCCATGCACACGTCCGGGTCTGCGCAGGCGACCTCCTCTGTGTGGAATAGACATTATAATAATATCATGACGGAATAGAGCAACACATCGGCTAACGACTCACGTAACGAATCGCGACTCGTGACGTTGACGTGACCTTGAGAAAAGCAGTTGTGACGTGCAGCAGTGAGCCTTGTTATGAGAGATGCTGACGGCGAAGTGCAATACTCTAGAGCAGAATAGATTACTCTGAAACTTTAGACTTCTTAGAGCACTTGTATTTAGAGGTTTAACTTTTTGATGCAAGGGCTTTAAAGCATTTCCCTAGAGGAAGCTCGCAAGTGAGGGATAAAGAAGAAGAAGAAGAAGAAGAAGAAGAAGAAGAAGAAGAAGAAGAAGAAGAACATGAAGAACAAGGAATACAAACCTGTGAAGAGGACCCTGCTGATCATGCCTGGGAAAATCATGATGAAGAGAGGCAACAGTTTCAGATATCCACACAAGATGGCAGCACCTTTCGCGTGGGATAGGTTCTTCGACGACAATGCTCGCTGGACTATCACCTGAAAGAATTCGAAAATTTATACGTAGGTTTGTCTAGCAATTATGTCAATCCCTAACGAATGTGTCAGCCCTCTAACGACGACATGGGTTGCCCTAGCCATAAGCCAATAACCACCTGGCTGCAGATAATGTTTATCTCGTCACAGCAATCACTTACCTACCTGGTCACAGCTAATGCTTACCTGGTCACAGCTAATGCTTACCTGGTCACAGCTAATGCTTACCTGGTCACAGCTAATGCTTACCTGGTCACAGCTAATGCTTACCTGGTCGCAGCACCAGTACCACATGCAGCCGATCGATGACTGTAGGATGAGACCGAGCCAGGGCAGGTCGCCCGTCGTCAGACTCCGGAATAAGTTGAAGGCGTCGTCGCGCGGGACGCCGCACAACGTCACGTTGTCTACCGTTGACGGGATGGCGTCCGGGTAGCTCACCCGCAGTCCCTCCAGACCGTTCACCTTCTGGAAACCTGGGAACGCACTAAAGGTTAATTCAGTTGCTTGTGCTGAACAATTCTACGTTCTCAGCGTAATGTAATGTACCCCTGTAAGTAGGCAGGGTACACAGGGTGAGACACAAGAGACCGATTTGTTGTTACTGCCGAGACAATTAAAGCATCAGGTGTGTCACACTGCAGTTCAGTGAAACAACACTGCACAACTAAGTAACATAAGAAATTCATTCTATACACAGAATATTTCTGTACGCAGCATTCTATACACGCAGAGTGGACTGCTTACCTAGGACAGTGAGAGCGACAGCACCAATAAGCATGATGACAGACTGCAGTGTGTCCGTGAAGATAACAGCCGTCAGCCCACCTGCAAATTCATGACCAATCTAGAATCAATCACCACTATACATACAACCATGTGCAAAACATTCGAAACAAGTTTGTATTGTGATCTTCCACAGCACCAGTCAAACTAATATGCATAACTTTTTCATTGCCATGAACCATCAGTGAAAGTATAGGTAGGAAGATAACCAGTGGCAGGAATAGCTAATAAGACAGCAATAGATGACGCCACAAGCACGAGTACCGAGTATGGTGTAGACCCCTGTGATAGCGAGCAGTACAATGGTACACAGGTAGATGTTCCAGCCTAGAGCCAGCTGTATGAACAGACCTCCAGCATAGATGCACACCTGCAAGGAAAATACACATGCACAATATGTAACTTAAACAAAAATGTAGTACACCTTGGCTTGACCTATGGTGACCTTGATGACAATGTACGTGACATGATTGTCAACCCATCTCAATCTAGGTGACGACGTACGGGATAAGATTGTATGCCCTCCTCAATCTGGCGACAATGTATGTGACACGATCGTCAACCCACCGCGATCTCAATTACAATGTATGTGACACGATCGTCAACCCACCGCGATCTTGGTGACGATGTACATCAGCAGGGAGATGACGCTGAGGTAGATGCGTAGGCGCTCGCCTCCGAACCTTGCCTTCAGGTAACCAGGCATCGTGTAGACCCCGGACGCAATGAACACGGGCATGAAGAGCCATCCCAGGATGACGACCAGCACTGCTGACTGCAACAGTGAGAGGGAGAACAACATGTAAACAACAATAACGACAACAAACAAACAACAAATAAATATATGATGAACACGGGCATGAAGAGCCATCCCAGCATGACGACCAGCACTGCCAACTGCAACAGTGAGAGGGAGAACAACATGTAAACAACAATGACAAAAACAACAAACAAACGTACGATGAACATAGCACGACGTCCCAGCACAACAACGCGTAACACAGACAGCAACGACTAGAAAAACAACGACGAAGTGAGAGAGGCGAATAATTGAGGGACATCATGCTTGCACGTGTTACACAGGAAGAACAGTGTAAATCTATGCTATTCCTACCAAAATCCCACCAGTTCTCAAAGTCACGCGTAACATTACTAGAAATTCCGAACCCGCCACGAAAGCGAATGTTGTCCTACTTCTAAACGATTCATAGCGTGTCTACTGATGACCCAAGAAGCTATGGAGCGGTTGAGCGGTTTCACTCACGCTGAATTCGAACATGACAATGGCTATTCCGGACGCTGCTCCCGTTCCTGCCAGTCCTATGAAGTGTTCACTGCCGATGTTGGACATGTAGAGAGAGGCACCCACCTGAGCAAACAACAAACCACAGTCAGCGATGGGCAGGCGAGCGGTAACGAGGTGGCGCATCTTTCTAGCTGCACGGAAGCCTGACGTGACGGAGAGAATAAACGTCTATATATCAACGGTCGTGCGATACGCGATTGTTTCTTGCAGCTACCCGCAAGCCCACACTCCCCACGTAGCGTGTAGTGGAAGTGTTATTTATTTATATAATTTAAATTACTAAACTATATATGGAATGATCAGTGATTATTTGGTAACGAAAATGTAATTTACTGTAAAAACCGATGTATAAAGGTAATTTAAGTTAAAATGTCAAAAGTATCCTTCATAGGCAGGCATGCATGCATTCTCTAAAGATGGTCTCACTGTAGACAGACTACTCCAGGGATACTCAAAATGCTCTTACAGACAGGTGTCCGTTCTATAGAGGTAACCACTAACACAGAATTGACTGTATGTATGTATACCAGATGGCACTTCAACTGTTTGTGTAACGTACGTTTCTAGAGTTAATAGAAAAATGAAATTAAAAATAAAAATAAAATCATACCGGTAGCCAGAGCATCTCCCGGGAAGCCAGGAAGTAGCCTTTCACATTGCGCTTACTGGCGAGAAAGGTGACCTAGAAAAGAGATGTGCACTATTAGAAAACACACTCACATACGAACGCACACACACACGCACATGCACGCTCAAACGCACACGTACACATACGCATATATATATATAAAGCAATGGCATACATATATAGTAAATGACTCACCGTCAGTCCAACTGCAAGCACCAGGACAAAGTATGCAGCTATAACCAGCAAATCTCTCCAATCGACGTCTTCCATGACTGATACCTCCTGTTATAACTGAAGATAGAAGTGCAATAAATTAAGTACTTCGCTCTTTCAAAGAAAACAATGTGTAATATCGAAGATTTGCCTCCACGCAAAAAATTGACGGCTAACGTTTTAGCAAGCGCGAATAACCGCACTTTCTCACTCCTCGAGTCATGAGCACAAACTGTGTTCTCACCGATTTTCTAGCGGCACATCTGCCCTGGCCCCTGGTCTCCCTGCTGCTAGCGGTGTGGGTGGGGGTGGAGGTGGGGGTGGGGGCGATCAGTGTACACAGCCGGTCATTCTCTCACACTCAAAGATGCTGCTCCACACACGCAAGTGTCGGTGTCATTTACTGTGAAAAGACAGTGACCTGCGATCGATGGCGGTGAAATCCGACCGCCCCCCTGAGAGAAGCAACAGGCTGTTGCTCTCGTACGTGCGTAGCACGGAGCTGGGGCCGAGCAAAAACTATAAACAGTTCAACTATAACTCTACGCCATTCCTTACGATACTCTTTTGACAGCTCTGATGCAAATAACTTGTGGTCTTTAATTAGACCGAGTGCAAATGTCCCCCGTAAGTGCCACAAGACGTGCTTGTTGATTCCAACAGCGACTTATAGAGGTCAAGCTATTTTTTATACTCACTCTGTCGTCTGCGAGAGAATCTGTTGATGAGAAGATCACTTCACAGGGAATTCTTGGTCGCAGCATCAACTCGAAAGCAGACACTATGACACTATAGCTAGAGTGTAAGTGCGTGTCAGATATTTCACAGCCATGTGGGACGTTGCTGGTGAACCAGTCTTACCACCAAACATACAAGTGACTGTCGCACCACCCTCAAAATTCAAATTCAAATTCAAATTCAAATAAAGTTTATTGCACAGATAATCGTAGATCATACAGCGTTACACAGGCAATGTTTATCGTTCCGCGACAGTGATTGATGTTTCTGTGTGCCTTTCGTTTGTTAGGGCTTAGCACACACAGTAATGGTGCGAGAGTCCAGATTTCTTCTTACCCTCAGTCAGTCGCACGCGTACACAAACATTGTGCGCGTTCCAGGAAGTTTAGTCGTAGAGTAGAGCGACAGTGTAGTGGGAGTATTACGCGTAGCTTCGCATGCGTGAAGCACATGTGTGTGCCCGGGGACAGTCATTAATGCTGCATGTAGTGAGTGTGAGGACATCAACAACACATTGGTGTAACCGCAGTCGTGTCCAGTAGCAGCTAGCATGTGTGGTAAAAACTGCAGGCTGGACCGTAGTAGATAGAAGGTCATAACCCGAGAATGCGAGTGACAGTGAGAGAGGGAGGGGAGAAAGAGAGGGTGGAGATAGAGGGGGAGAGAGAGGTGGGAGAGAGAAAGAGCGGGAGAAAGAAGAGAGGAAGGGAGGTCGAGAGAGGAGGGGGAATGAGAGGGAGGGAGTCAGGGGGGAGGGGGAGAGAGAGAGAGAGAGAGAGAGAGAGAGAGAGAA